CCATGCACTGTTTATTCTTGTATCTCTAGAACCTAGTATAGAGCCTGGCATATCATTAGCATTCAAAATTTTGTTGCCTCGAGTACTGGGAAGTACTGCAGAAGCTGAAGCACTGCACTAGGTATTTTCTGTGTCCATCTGGATATTGACAGACGGACACCTGTCTGTTATATTCAGGAAACACACATAAAAACAACTGCCTTTGTGACATGCACTGGCTGCCACTCACTTGACTATGGGATCCGAAAGCTGCAGGCCTTCCAGGCTTAGATTCTGCAACTTGGAGCACTGAGACAGAATGCCATGAAGGGCCGACTCATCTATTACTGAATTCGACAGGTCCATGTGCTGCACACGAAAAGGGCTGAACACAGAAGAGAAAAAGAGGCTCCATAAGGTGGCTCAAACAAGTCCATCCACATCAAATCCGACCCCTTCTTCTCCATAAATAAGAAGCCAATCACAAACAAGACCCTAAAAACACATTTCAGGTATTAACTATAGTTTTGGCATTAAAACAAATTTCTACTAGCTAATTCCCCATCCTCATTCATTTTAAAATTCAAGAGGACTTTTGCCAAGTGAAGAAGCCAATCACAAACAAGACCCTAAAAACACATTTCAGGTATTAACTATAGTTTTGGCAATAAAACAAATTTCTACTAGCTAATTCCCCATCCTCATTCATTTTAAAATTCAAGAGGACTTTTGCCAAGTGCAGATGTTGCTGCCAATATAATCCCACATAGAAAATTAATTACTGGGCATCATGAGAATGAGCTGGATGTGTGTAACCAGGAGATTAAGCCTATAATGACTCCTGGTTTCTGGCGAGGGTAAGTGGGTATTTACTAAGGCAGGGAAGACAGTGGAACAGCAAGTTTTAAAGGGAGGCCAAGGTTAATTTTAGACATGCTAAAACTGAGGTACTTGGAGGAAATTCAGGTGCGCAACTTTTTAGGTAATAAATAGGAGTTTGAAAGAGAGGGCTGAGCTGCAGATGAGGATTTGAGAGTCCTGGGCGTGCAAGTGGCTGTTCAGGACACAGCTTGTCTAAGGACAGCGTGTGGATTAAAAAGAGAAGGTGGCCAGGGACAGACCCTGGAGTGAACAAAGGAAATCACACATGAAGGAGACCAAGAAAGGAATAGCAAATAGAGTGGGATAAAAAGCATCAGGAAAGGTGGTTTGGACTATGGAAAGAAGGGAAAAAGTACTAGTGTAAGGAGACGAGTTTTATGTCTAGTCCTGCTGTCTTTAACTTGTTTTTCAGTAAGAGATAACACTAAACCCTATTACTGCAAAATTATCAGTAACAGAGAAATATTTTTTCAAAATATTCTACAAAACAAACAAAAAGAGGGCATTTTTTTTTTTCAGGTTGCAAATTGGTCTATGATAGGATCAGAAACCCCAAGCTACAGATCTGTAGGATCAGAAACCCCAAGCTACAGATCTCCTCATACATTTTTCTTTATCAGAAATGAGCAGTGAGAAAATAACGAGGCAGCCTTGCATGTGCTGGTGAGTGGTCTGTTCAGCTTCTGCCTTGTGGGATTCACACATTCCTGAGTGATTCACACAATCCCCATTTCTGAGGACTGGACTCAAGAACTTACATGTGCATCTCTGACCCTGGGAAAAGCCCAACAGTAACTCTGAGGTAAAAATGGGAACGGTGTCACTGAAACCTGTGCCATGTTTCAACACAAAGGCCATATGCAAAATATGCAAATAACATCCCACACTGCACAGATGACCTGTCACAGGCTGTTAAGCTGGATAAAGAAAAACAATTTTGATCTGTTTCTACCTCAAGATTTAGAAATAGTCTTTTCCAGGGATTTTTCTTTTTTACCTGAAATGTTCAACCAGTGGCTGGTCCACAAATGATCGGGGGCAGCGGAAGGCAATGACCCCTCGAGACAGCAACCGCCCGATCACATCCGGGTGCAGATTTTTACCTGTGAGGTCTAAGGTCTGCCATAGAGACTCATCAAACCTAGAAAATAGGAGGTGCTTGATCTGGTAAGTTGGTCACTCTGAATGCTGGAGGACCGAAACAATATTACAAACAAGGAGGACATCGCTGCTAAATCCCCTTGAAGCAAATTCTGAAGGAACCTTTGTTTTTAAGTTGACTATACAATTAGCTACATTTTAAAGACACTATTGAATATTTCTTGATCATATCATGGATAAGCTTCCATCTTTCTCTTTCTATAAATTTCCAATTTAGATGGTTCAATGCTAATATTAGCATTGCCATGATCTGGAACCAGAGAATAAAATTCCAGCACTCAATTCAATTTGACAAATTTAAAAATAATTGTTCAAATGGCTTAGTTGACTATTACTAGAAGATAAGTTCAAAACTTATTAAATGATCCCACTTACTGGTTTTTGTTAAACATGGACAGGTTACCACAATAGCTATAACTAACATGTAAATTAAATTAAAGGAAGGGAAGTTGGCACTATTTTATTATGAAATATGTCTGTCTAAATGTCTACTAGGAGAAAGTGGTCATAGTTCAGCTCTGCTTCAGCCCTGAAGCAGCCCTTTTAAGCTAAAAACACACACACACATATATATGTGTGTATGAGTATATGTAACATATATGTATGTGTGTTTGTGTGTGTGCGTGCGTGTGTGTGTGTGTGTGTATGAACTAATGTGAAAAGAAAAGGAAAAAAATATTACTTAGATTA